AATAAACGAATAACATGACAGATAAATAAGTGTAACGAGACTCGCGCTTTAAATACACATCTGAAAGCTCTCAAAGGAGCTCGAAACCGAACACGTGCTTAGCGATCTTAAATCTCAGAACCTGCCGGTTAGTGAAGTGTACAGAATGCACCACCCCACCGATAAAACTAGATACCTACCTACCTTTGCCTAGTCATCCTGGACCTGCCTCCGGAAGACAAAGAAATTTTCAATGTCCGCCGAGAATTGGCTTTAGGGATTGCAGTAGAAGCCCCCCGAAACAGAGGCCTCATTGGTCAATGCCACCGATGCCAACTTTATGGCCACTCGGCTAAAAACTGTTTTGCTCGGCCTAGATGCGTTAAGTGTCTAGGCGACCACGGTTCGCCCGAGTGCACCCGAATGCCAGAGTCGGAAGGCTCTCCCAGCTGCGTTCTGCGAACGATCGCGGGTGTAATAAAACGCCGCGCAGGAAGAGGCCCGGAGGTGTAAACCCGTGCGGACGAGTGGCTAGCGTCAGCAGTTCCCTTCTTCGGCAACCTGCCCCTTCAGTCACACTGATCTCGGTGTCATAACCCGCGCCCTCTCAGGCTATCACCAAACCCTTCCCCGTTAAAGGAGCTTCCGGGCAAGGCGTAAGCCCTTCGGTGCCTTCAGCTCTCAAAACGAACGCATTGGTTAAGCCCTCGGCGAGTGTTAGTGCGGGCGCCTCATGGCCAGCGCCCTCTCTCCAGGCTCAAAAGCCCAAAACTGCCCCTCAGGCATCTTCAACCTTCGCTGCCGTCTGCTAGTTAGTCTGCAGCTTCATCAGCAACATTAATGTTGCTGAAGTCACTTCTCTGGCCCGCAAACTTCCCGAGACCAAAACCTTGAGTGGTTAAGGCTTAATGCCACCAATGTGGTTAAAGCTCAGTGCCACCATTGAGTATATCAATCTCATCAACGCGATTGGTTCATTCCAATGCGCTTAAGCAAGCCCCTTTTAAAACCATAATAGCAGTACAACTTACCGGAAGAATCAAACCTAGCTCTCTGACTGTCGCGTTCTTTAACGCAAACGGCGTAAGAGATCAAAAGGAAGAAACTGTGTACTTTTTACACGACGATAATTTCGACATCATACGAGTACTATTGCAAGAGACTTACTTGAAACCTAGCGTGCGCCATCCCAAAATAGCTAATTATACCTTAAGTAAGAAAAGTAAAAACGGAAAACGTAAGAAGTGATAGGCTAACCAGACCCAAAGGCGGCACCTTGATCTACTACAAAAGGTTCTTGCAATGTGTCCCGATAGATACTTCAGCGCTTGCTAACTCGGTTTGTAGGATATCACTTACGGGCCATCCACCCATTATAATTGCATCAGCATATCTGCCGCCATTAAAACTCACATTAGAAGCTTACATCTCGGTTCTACTAGATCTAGGCCCCAGCGTATTAATTGCGGGAGACCTAGACAGTAAACACGTTAGTTAGAATTCTAACGTTAACAACCGAAACGGAAACGTTTTATGTGACCTCACGGAGAGACTCAACTTCAACGTTATCGTTCCTGAGATGAAACTCGTTACCCTTTTGCTATAATCCTACTACCGGACGTCCTTGATGTAGCATTACCAAAAGATATCCTGCTCAATATCAACTCGATTGAAACATTCATCGAATTAACCTCAGACCACAGGCCGGTCGTACTACAACTGGGCCGGTCAGCAGGTGAAGTCCTTCAGAACCAAATCATCGTTGACTGGCGTAAACTCGAGGTCAAACTCGAGTCTACAAACTCCCAACACTTAGACACTATACCGGACTGGATAGACACGCCGGAGGAAAAGCCAATAGAACGATTAACACCCTATAGAAAGAATCACCTCAATTTAGCGGTCGAAGAATGCTCCCGTAAGGTTCGTCTCGAGTGATCGGTACACGAAGCTTCCAGCGAATCTTCGACAACTGATTAGAGCGAAGAACACCAAGCTAAAATCATACGAGCGTTATCGCACGGAAGATAACAAAATTCGGTTACGTTCTCTACAAAACGAGATTAAACAACGCATAGCCTATTTTAGAAATGCGAAATGGGAAAACCTCTTAGAAGGAATAGAACCTTCTCAAGTCGCCTTTTGAAAGCTCACTAGAGCTTTAAAATCGGAGAAATCTCCTCCCATGCCGCCTCTCGTGAGGCTAGACCGTCCTGATCTCGCCTTAGATTATCTCAAAAAAGCCGAATGCCTAGCCGACAGTCTAGAGAACCAGTGTACCCCATCCAGCGAACCAACAGATCCCGCTCACCTACTAGAAGTAGAAACGGGAGTCGAACGTAGGTCTGCGTTACCACCAGCGGGCGACCCACTCGATCCCGTGACTTTGACTTAGTCCAAGTCAACGGGATCGAGTGGGTATATGCTATAAAAAGCCTAAAGAATAGATCAGCCCCTAGGCCAGACGGCATCAGCAACAAGGTGATCAAATCTCTTCCGGCACCACTAATATAATAATTAAACGCGCTGCTCGCGATCTACTCCTTCCCGGATATCTGGAAAGAAGCAGACGTAATAGAAATCCCAAAACCAGGAAAACCGTGAAACCGACCTACCAGCTTCAGTCTCGTCAGTCTACTTAACATATTAGGTAACTATAAGACAGCATCGTTCTCCCCGACGAACAGTTTGGCTTTAGAGCCGAACACTCGTGCACTAACCGAATTCATCGCCTAAGAAAATATATTCTGTATGGCTTTAATCAGTAACCGACAAAGAAAAGGTCTCGAAACACCGGAGCCCTCTTCTTCGATGTCGCAAAGGCATTTGATAAGGTCTGGCACGAAGGCTTGCTCTACAAGCTGTATAAACTTAACGTGCCCGATAGGATCGTACACTTCATCCGAGATTTTCTTACAAATCGCTTCCTTCGCTATTGAGTAGAGGGAACCCGTTCCTCGAAACATTTTCTAAAGGCCGGGGTCCCACAAGGCTCCGTCTTGTCTGTCCACTTCTCTTCACACCTTCACGAGTGATATCCCCAAGGACCCAGTGGTAAACACTGCTCTCTTCGCCGACGATACGGCACTCTTTTTATCTGACTATAACAGAAGAAGTCTCACTTTGAAACTTCAAAAAGCTACCAATCGCTTAGGCGAATGGTTCCGCATATGGAGAATCGAAGTGAATCCCGAAAAAAGTGTAGCAATATACTTTCAACAGAGTTCAACGCCAAAACGATTCGAGCCAAAAGTTAAGCTAGATACTATCTCCTTATATGGCCGCCCTATCCCTTGAGAATACTCGGCCAAATATCTGGGAGTCACGTTCAACGTCCGCATGAGTTTCGCAAAACACCTAACTGTAGTTTTCAACAAAGCCAAGATAGTCATTGGCCGTTTCCACCATCTTGTTGACAAGAAGAGTAAGTTGTCGCTAAGACAAACTCCATCTGTACAAAACCTGCGTTAGACCTATAATGTCTTACGCAAGTGTAGCTTTCGCCAACACGTATCAGTCCCACCTATACGAACTACAGAAAGGTCAAAACTTTTTCATCCGGAAAGCTACTGGAACACGGTGGTATCAACGGAATCCTGATCTGCACAATGATCGCCAACTTCCCACTATCTCTAAATACTTTAAGGAGATGTCTGAGCACTTCTTTGATAGCGCGGAAACCCATACAAACCCGCTAGTGGCTAACGCAGCCAACTACGTTCCGACACCAAACGTCACGCGGACTCTCCGTAGACCGCGTAACGTACTCTTAGAACAACCACGCTCGCTCGACCCCGTCGACCCAAACATCTTAGGCACATCAAACACTGACAATACACTCACAACAATTGGGACAAACACAAGTAAGTTAACGGATAGGGCGCGTCGCACCCGTAGGCGGACACAACGCGTTCCAGCACACACCGCGTACACACCGTACACCTACGTACCTGGGCGGTTCTCACCGCCCAGAACATCGACCAATACGAGCTAAGCAGTCAAGAGGCAAGGGTAAGCACAATCGGACAGCGGTTAGATAATTCAAAAACAACCTCACCAGAGGGGACATGATGATTAGTAACAATACCAATTCATAAACCACCATCATCCTCATCCCCATCCTAATTGCCGCCTTTCCACTTTTCAAATAGCTCGCGGCCTGAAAGGCCCGAGCCCTGTGTCAGATGAAACTGTAAGAGTCGCATAGGCTAACTACGCAAACATTACAAAAAATAGTAAAAAAATATTGGTAAATCCAATTGGGCATGCCCTAAGCGCATCACTAAAATTAGATATAACATGTGTACCGCATATGTGAGGTCCTCCCAAAAATAAAACAAACGAATTCGAGTATGAGCTGTTTATTCAACCCCGCAGAACTTACACAGGAAAAAGGCTAACAGCCTATACAGTGCATGGGAAAAATAACTACAGCGCGATTTAACTTTAATGGTGCACCATCTAGTACAATTTTATAGAACTGTTACAACAAACAAAATAACAAATCAAGTTACTCAAACATACCGCCCGCCAAGGACATCGTGATGTCCTTCAAAAATAACAATCTGTAAGTTTAAATATACATTCATATGAAAGATGAAAGTTGCAATCTATACTATTAAGTGTAAATTAACAACTAATAATAAATTAATTTGGAAGGTAACAAACACACTTTAGTAATTGGTCTCTTAACAATAGAATTTTTGCACTTCACCGATATCACTCTCACTAAATTATCTTCTCCAGGGTAAGTTTCTACCACCCTTCCAGTGACCAATTAGAAGGTGGCAAGTTGTCATCTCTTAACAGAACTAGATCTCCCTTCTCAAAATTTGGTTTTTTTGTCATCCATTTTGGACGTTGTTGCAAACGTAATAAATATTCACTCGACCATCTTTTCCAGAAGTCTTGCAACAGTCTTTGTGTTAGTTGCCATCGAATTAGTAAATTAACATTTGAATTTAAGTAGCTCTCCTCTGGAACAATAGTTGGCGATTCATTTAGGAGAAAATGTCCAGGGGTCACGAGTTTAAACAGGCCTCGATCTGCGAGGTCACTTTAGACATTTCCTCGTATGTTAATGTAGTATTACCAAGAATACGTTTCAAGTGAAATTTTATTGATTTCACTCCAGCCTCCCACAATCCGCCAAAGTGTGGAGCCGAAGGTGGGATATGATGCCATGTAGTTCCATCATTAACCAGGATATTCTTAATCTCTGATTCTAAATTTTCAGTACTCTTATCAAATAATTTTCTTAGTTCTTTATTTCCAGCGGGCAGATTCGTACCATTATCACTCCATATATTCAAGCAGTGTCCTCGCCTGGCGACGAAGGGTTTGAATGCTGCGATAAAGTTTTGGGTGTTTAAAGATGTAACAATTTCAATATGTATGGCCTTGGTGACCATACAAATGAATATGGCAATGTAACCTTTTTGTATTTTGCAACCTCTACCTTTCGAGAGTCTCAAATCAATTGGTCCTGCAAAATCTACACCGCTGTTCAGAAAAGGTTTACAAGGTGTTACGTGAGCATCTGGTAACGACCCCATCATCTGGTTTCTTGCAGTGACTCGGAATCTTGCACATTTCATGCACTGATGGACTACTTGTCGAACGAAACTCTTTTCATGAACTATCCAGTATCGTCTACGGAGGTTACTCAAAAGCATCATTGGACCACCATGTAAGGTACGTATGTGGTAATCGGTAAGTATTAATTTGGTAAATGCATGATTTTCAGGTAAGATTATTTGGTATTTAGTATAATCAGGTAAGTCACTTTTTTGTAGCCTTCCTCCTACTCTAAGAATTCCTTTTTCACCTAGAAAAACATTTAGACTGCGAAGTTTACTATCCTTTTTAACAATTTTATTTGTAGATATCCTTTCAATTTCATCTCCAAATCCTTCCTTTTGACATAGTTTTATACATATTACTCTTGCTTTATTTATTTCTATACCCGTAAGATGTTTTTTCTTTAATTTCTCCCTTGTAAAGAATCGTAGTATGTATGCTGTTACTTGAAGTAGTTTAGTTAAATTTGAATATCTTCTTAATAATCCAAAGTCTTCAATTTCTGTTATTGTATTTTTACAAACATTAATTCCTTTTATTTTTCCAGGTCCGAAGTGTTCTCTTTTAATCGGTTGTAGGTAATATTTTCCTTCAGAAGTTCTTCAGGTCCCATTCACCACAAACTAGACTGCAGGAGTTGAGTTTGACAGGCTCCTCGAGAAGCTATGTCTGCAGGATTTTGTGTCGACTCTACGTGGCTCCAGCATCTCGCAGGTAAGATGGTAAGTATTTCAGAAGTTCGATTAGCTATGAATGTCTTCCATTTTGAGGGGTGACATTGTAACCAAGCTAACACTATGGTTGAGTCGATATAAGCATGTATACCAGTGATAGCTACACCGAGACACTCAGCTGTTTCGTGAAGTAGTTTCGTCAGAAATAAGGCTCCACATAATTCCAATCTCGGTATGGAAACAGTCTTGCGAAAACTCGAGTCGCACCAACACTCGAGTTTTCGCTGTAACAAGGCGAACAGATATTGTTCCGTCAGCCTTGACAACTCGTAGGTAAACGACTGCTGCGTAGGCCCTCTCTGATGCGTCGCTATATTCATGGAGTTCAATCTTTCGATCATTGTTGTTTGTGTTTAACCATCTGTTTACATATATGATTTTACTTGTTGCAGGTCATTGCAGAAGTTTAGCCATTCGATCTCTACCTCGCTTGGAACCTCTTCGTTCCATGTGGTTCTAGCCAGCCACAACTTTTGTATAATTATTTTAGCTACCACAATAACCGGTGCCAGCCATCCCATTGGGTCAAACAGTCGAGATATTTTTACAGGTTTGTTTGAAGGTCATAAGTTTATATTGTACTGAAAATTATCTGTGTTCTTATTCCATCGAATCCCTAAAGTTTTTATAATAGTTTCTGATTACAGTATGTACGTCTCGTCTGTTTTGGAATCATCATTTCCTACGTGTTCTTCAAATTCTGTTTTGTTACACGCCCATTTTTGCAATTGAAATCCTCCTGCCTTCATTAAATTTGTCATTTGGTAATGATTTTCAAAGGCGTGCTTTAAGTTGTGAGCTCCAGAAAGTAGATCATCCATATAAAAGTCTGTTTTTGCAATTTTAGAAGCTATAGGGAAATTATGTTCTTCGTCAACAGCCAGTTGCTGAAGAGTTTTTGTAGCGAGATAAGGTGCGCTAACTGTGCCAAAGGTCACTCTAGTAAGTCGGAATTCCTTTAATTCGCCGTTTACTCGCCATAGAATTTTTTGATAGTTGGCACTTTCATTGGTAACCTTTATTTGTCTATACATCTTTACACAATCTGCTGTGAAAGCGACCTCAGAGTTACGCCATCTCATAACTATTTGTCTCAAATCTTGCTGCAATTTAGGACCAATTAACATGTTGTCATTGAGGGATTTACCATTAGGGCCTTTGCATGAGGCGTCAGATACTATTCTAATCTTGGATGTTGCCTTCTCTGGTCTTATCACAGCGTGATGTGGCATGTAAAACGAATTTCGTGTACTCTCATTCTCACATATTTGTTATTTCTTCCATGTGGTTAGGTTCTATGTACTCCATTAACACTCTTGAATATTCTGTCTTTAATTACCTATTGCAGCCGCCATCTTGGATTTACATTTCGACAGCACTATCAGCTTCATCACCCGCGAAAACCATGAGAATGACACCCATGATGAAAAAATTGATTCCTTTTGCAGCCGCCATCTTAGATTTACATTTCGATAGCACTATCGGCTTCAACACTCTCGAAAACCATGAAAATGACACCCATGATGAAAAAATTTATACCTATTGCAGTCGCCATCTTGGATTTACATTTCGACAGCACTATCGACTTCAGCACCCTCGAAAACCACGAAAATGACACCCATGGTGAAAAAATTGATATCTATTGCAGCCGCCATCTTGGATTTACATTTCGACAACCCTATCGGCTTCAACTCTCTCGAAAACCATGAAAATGACACCCATGATGAAAAAATTGGTACCTAATTCAGCCACCATCTTGGATTTACATTTCGAGAGCACTATCGGCTTCCACACCCTCTAAAACCATGAAAATTACACCCATGATGAAAAAATTGATACCTTTTGCAGCCGCCACATTGGATTTACATTTCGACAGCACTATCGGCTTCAACACCCGCGAAAACCATGCGAATGACACCCATAATGAAAAAATTGATTCCTTTTGCAGCCGCCATCTTGGATTTACATTTCGACAGCACTATCGGCTTCATCACCCGTGAAAACCATGAAAATTACACCCATGATGAAAAAAATTGGTACCTAATTCAGCCGCCATCTTGGATTCACATTTCGACAGCACTATCGGCTTCAACACCCTCTAAAACCATGAAAATTACACCCATGATGAAAAAATTGATACCTTTTGCAGCCGCCACATTGGATTTACATTTCGACAGCACTATCGGCTTCAACACCCGCGAAAACCATTCGAATGACACCCATAATGAAAAAATTGATACGTATTGCAGCCGCCATCTTGGATTTACATTTCGACAGCACTATCGGCTTCATTACCCGCGAAAACCATGAGAATGACACCCATGATGAAAAAATTGATTCCTTTTGCAGCCGCCATCTTGGATTTACATTTCGACAGCACTATCGGCTTCATCACCCGCGAAAACCATGAGAATGACACCCATGATGAAAAAATTGATTCCTTTTGCAGCCGCCATCTTGGATTTACATTTCGACAACCCTATCGGCTTCAACTCTCTCGAAAACCATGAAAATGACACCCATAATGAAAAATTGATACTTATTGCAGCCGCCATCTTGGATTTACATTTCGACAGCACTATCGGCTTCAACACCCGCGAAAACCATGAGAATGACACCCATGATGAAAAAATTGATTCCTTTTGCAGTCGCCACATTGGATTTACATTTCGACAGCACTATCGGCTTCATCACCCGCGAAAACCATGAGAATGACACCCATGATGAAAAAATTGATATCTATTGCAGCCGCCATCTTGGATTTACATTTCGACAGCACTATCGGCTTCATCACCCGCGAAAACCATGAGAATGTCACCCATGATGAAAAAATTGATATCTATTGCAGCCGCCATCTTGGATTTACATTTCGACAGCACTATCGGCTTCATCACCCGTGAAAACCATGAGAATGACACCCATGATGAAAAAATTGATTCCTTTTGCAGCCGCCATCTTGGATTTACATTTCGACAGCACTATCGGCTTCATCACCCGTGAAAACCATGAAAATTACACCCATGATGAAAAAAATTGGTACCTAATTCAGCCGCCATCTTGGATTCACATTTCGACAGCACTATCGGCTTCAACAGCCTCTAAAACCATGAAAATGACAACCATGATAAAAAAATTGATACCTATTGTAGACGCTACCTTGGATTTATATTTCGACAGCACTATCGGCTTCAACACCCGCGAAAACCATGAGAATGACACCCATGATGAAAAAATTGATACCTATTGCAGCCGCCATCTTGGATTTACATTTCGACAGCACTATCGGCTTCAGCACCCTCGAAAACCATGAGAATTACACCCATGATGAAAAAATTGGTACCTAATTCAGCCGTCATCTTGGATTTACATTTCGACAGCACTATCGGCTTCAGCACCCTCGAAAACTATGAAAATGACACCCATGATAAAAAAATTGATACCTATTGCGGCCGCCATCTTGGATTTACATTTCGACAGCACTATCGGCTTCAACACCCGCGAAAACCATGAGAATGACACCCATGATGAAAAAATTGATTCCTTTTGCAGTCGCCACATTGGATTTACATTTCGACAGCACTATCGGCTTCATCACCCGCGAAAACCATGAGAATGACACCCATGATGAAAAAATTGATATCTATTGCAGCCGCCATCTTGGATTTACATTTCGACAGCACTATCGGCTTCATCACCCGCGAAAACCATGAGAATGTCACCCATGATGAAAAAATTGATATCTATTGCAGCCGCCATCTTGGATTTACATTTCGACAGCACTATCGGCTTCATCACCCGTGAAAACCATGAGAATGACACCCATGATGAAAAAATTGATTCCTTTTGCAGCCGCCATCTTGGATTTACATTTCGACAGCACTATCGGCTTCATCACCCGTGAAAACCATGAAAATTACACCCATGATGAAAAAAATTGGTACCTAATTCAGCCGCCATCTTGGATTCACATTTCGACAGCACTATCGGCTTCAACAGCCTCTAAAACCATGAAAATGACAACCATGATAAAAAAATTGATACCTATTGTAGACGCTACCTTGGATTTATATTTCGACAGCACTATCGGCTTCAACACCCGCGAAAACCATGAGAATGACACCCATGATGAAAAAATTGATACCTATTGCAGCCGCCATCTTGGATTTACATTTCGACAGCACTATCGGCTTCAGCACCCTCGAAAACCATGAGAATTACACCCATGATGAAAAAATTGGTAC